CAATCCGTGGCTGAATACGGCATTAATTTAGAATCAATATTACAATCAGCTGTCGAAAAGGGACATATTAACAAAGATGCTAGAAATGATATGTTGAGAACAAAATTTTGGTCAGGTTTAAGAGATTCAGAATTGAAAAATGCTAGTAGATATAAATATGAAACCGTCAAAGATTTTGACACTTTACGCAAAGAGATCAGAGCAATTGAATTAGAAATTTCAAATTCAAAAGCAAACAACACAGAAATACCAACTTCAAAAAGAAATGTAGCACACAATCCTTTAACATCTACAGCAGACCCTACTAACAAAGTTCTAGAAAATATTCTCAAGAAAATGGACAAGATGGACCAAAAGATGAGCTGTTTTGAGACTAGATTATCTGAGATTAACAGATCAGGGGGAGATAATTCAATGCGAGGAGGACATAATCATGGTAGATTTCAGTACAACAGAGGTGCTACCAACTACAGCAGAGGTGCTGGCAAATTTTAACAACAACAGAAAAACCAATCGTTTGAATATGACCAATCATCACCAAATTATAACAGAGGATTTTCCAGAGGCAGACCATTCAGGGGTGCTAGAGGTTTCAGTAGAGGTTATTCCAACAGAGGAATTCCACCTCCTGCTAATAACTACACAGAAAATCAAAAAAACTAGAAAATGTCTGTATTGTGGAGCAAATAACAGACATAGATCCTGAAACACAACAAAGCTCCAATTCTGAAATATTTGAAGAAATAAAATGTGAAATTTGCAATCAATCTGGTCATTCTGATTTATTTTGTAGAGTTAGGAAAGATCATTTAAGATCCGATTACAAAAGGCCTCACAATATAACAAACTATAGACAAAGAAATAGAACTTGTACTCTAGTAGGTACAACTAATGAAGTCTCTATTGATATTGATAGTGTCATTACAACAGCACTTGTTGATACAGGTTCTTCTATCTCAACTATTTGTCAAAGTTTTTATGAAGAACATTTGCACCATTTACCTTTGAAACCTGTGACAGATTTTCTACACATAGAATGTGCAGATGGTCAAACTTTACCATATTCAGGTTATATACAATGTCCTTTGAAAATCAATGGCTTAGGTGATGAACAATTGTCAATAGATGGTTTGTTTCTTATTGTACCTACAACATCTTAAAATAACAGTGTTCCTGTTTTAATTGGTACAAATATCATTTCTGTGTTAATGAACATAGTCAAAGAGTCCCATGGCCCTAGATATTTACAAGAAGCCAAGTTATTTACTCCTTGGTATCTTGCATTTCGGTGTGTTTCTTTACGAGAAAAAGAATTGCATAAACACAACAATATACTAGCATTCATACGGCTAGCTGAGTCATCAAAAGTTACCATTCCCCCAAATACAGATATTGTTGTACAAGGTTACCTTCAAAAGGAATTACCTTATCAGCCAGTTTGTGCAATATTACAACCTACACCAAAGTCAAAAATACCAAATGACATAGACATTTCTCCTGTGCTAATACCATACAAATATCAACTTAATGGTGTAGTACCAGTGCATATTAGCAATATCACGACAAGAACAGTAACTCTTGCCCCACATGCTTTACTCTGTGAAGCTCAGCAAGTAAATGTAGAAGATATTGCTTCTCATGTCAAAAAGGACAAAGATTCCTCAAATATTAATATTATCGACCTTATTAATATTCAAAAAGATGATCTATCAGAGGAACATTTCCAAAAATTATCTCAATTGATTCAGAATTTTAATGACATATTTTCAAAAAGTGACACAGATGTTGGGTTTACTAAATCTGTTAAACATCAAATAGAATTGTCAAATGAAGTCCCTTTTAAACAAAGATTTAGGAGAATACCTCCGTCAATGTTTGATGAGGTTAGAAGTCACCTGCAACAATTATTAAGTGCAGGCATTATTCGCCAATCACATTCTCCTTTTGCTTCAAATGTTGTGCTTGTAAAAAAGAAAACTGGAGAATTACGTCTGCGCATTGATTTTAGAGAACTAAATCAAAGAACAATTAAAGACAGTTACTCCTTACCCAGAATTAATGAAATTTTAGATTCTCTATCTGGAAATAAATATTTTTCAATACTAGATATGAAATCTGGGTACCATCAAATTGAAATTGAAGAAAAACATAAAGAGCGCACTGCATTTACAGTTGGCCCTCTTGGATTTTACGAGTATAATAGAAAGGCCTTTGGGTTAGCAAATGCCCCTGCCACTTATCGAAGGCTAATGGAACAATGTTTAGGGGATTTGCATTTAAAGATTTGTTTCATCTATTTAGATGACATTATTATATTTTCCAATACTTATGAAGAACACTTAGAACGTTTAAGTCTAGTATTTCAAAAATTACGCGAGGCAGGAATAAAACTATCACCAAAGAAATGTTCCTTACTAAAGACTCGCGTCCGATATGTTGGACATGTTGTGTCAGAGAAAGGCATAGAGCCTGATGAAGAAAAAATCAATAAGGTTCAAGAATGGCCTCGTCCCAAAACTCGCGAAGAAGTCCGTCAATTTTTGGGATTTGTAGGTTATTACAGAAAATTTATTAAAAACTTTTCAAAAATTGCTAGACCTTTATTAAATCTCATGCCTACTCCCACAAAGAAAAATCGTGGTAAAAAGAAAATTATGTCCAATAAACAATTACCAGAATCCAAATGGGAAGAAGAACAAGAACATGCTTTTAATTTTCAAAAAAAATCAATTGTTTTCTTATCCCATATTGGCATACCCTGATTATTCAAAACCATTTGAGTTGCATACTGATGCATCTTTGCATGGGTTGGGTGCAGTTCTTTATCAGCAAAAAGATGATGGACTAAAACATGTCATAGCTTATGCAAGCAGAAGTCTAAGCAAAGCTGAACGAAATTACCCAGCGCACAAATTAGAATTTCTTGCGCTTAAATGGTCTGTCACAGAAAAATTTAAAGATTATTTATATGGACATAGTTTTTACTGTTTTCACGGATAATAATCCTTTAACTTATGTCCTTACAACTGCACAACTAGATGCAACTGGCCATAGATGGCTTGCAGCCTTGTCTGCCTATGATTTTGACTTGAAGTATAGACCAGGCAATACAAATGCAGATGCAGACGCACTGTCTCGTTTACCTGGTATATTACAAAAACAGAACTGTGTTACTGTTACATCAGACTCTGTTAGTGCTATATGCAATGTGACAAATGTTGTTCCTTTTATTGAAACTCTTCCAGCGTCAGAAGAAGTTATTAATATGAACATAAATGCTCCACAAGATGGAAGCTTACAAAGTGTCGACATTGTTCAAGAACAAATTAATGACCCTGATATATCATATTGGTTTGATCAAGTATTTAACAAATACAAACCTCATAAAAATGAAATACCATCTACTCCTTATAGTAATGCATTATTTCAATGCTTTGACAAACTTAGGATCATAGATGATAAGTTGTACAGAGATGTAAGAACAAAAAAAGGAATTGTACATCAACTTGTTATTCCTTTGTCACTTGTCAATCTAGTTTTGTTTCATCTTCATGATAAGATGGGCCATCAAGGTAGGGATAGAACCCTTTCACTTGCAAAAGATCGATTTTATTGGTATGGTATGACCCGTGACATAGAAAACCATATCCAACATTGTGGTAGATGTATAAGGAGAAAAACTCCAACAAATATGAAAGCTCCTTTAGTAAACATCATGACTACTCAACCATTAGAACTAGTTTGTCTTGATTTTTTGACCCTTGAACGGTCTAAAGGTGGTTTTGAGTATGTTTTAGTTATTACTGATCATTTTTCAAGATATGCTCTGGCATCCCCTACAAAGAATATGACAGCTAAAACAACAGCTGAAGCTTTTTATCAAAACTTTGTATTAAATTATGGCATACCACACAAGATCCATTCAGATCAAGGTGCGAACTTTGAAAGTAAGATCATAAAAGAATTATGTTCCATACTTGGTATCAATAAATCTAGAACCACACCATATCACCCTATGGGTAATGGTCAGTGTGAACGGTTTAATCGTACTCTAATATCTATGCTAGGTACATTAAATCCAAATGAAAAACAAGATTGGAAGTCTTTTATTAAACCAATTGTGCATGCTTATAATTGTACTAAACAAGATACCACATCATATTCTCCATTTTATTTGATGTTTGGTCGAGAACCAAATCTACCCATAGATATCTTGTTTGATAATCATACTTCCAGCGAAAAGAAATCAATGTCCAAGTATATTGAATCCTTGAAAAACAGGTTGAAATATTCTTATGAACTTGCTTCAAAGAACATACAGATGTCTCATGAAAAACAAAGGAAACATTATGATGTGAAAATCAAAAGTAGTGTACTTGAACCAGGTGATCTTGTTTTGGTTAAGATTGTTGCTTTCGATGGTCGCCATAAGTTGGCAGACAAATGGGAAAATGACCCTTATATTATTATCAATCAGCCAAATAAAGATATCCGTGTATACAAAGTTCAGAAACAGAATGGGGAAGGAAAGACAAGAGTTTTACATAGAAATTTATTACTTCCCATCTGTTCATCCTGCGACAATAATGAGATACAAAAACCTAAACCAGTCCCTAGAAAAAGAAAACCAGTTCCTAAAACAAGGAAAAGTACAAATTCAGACTCTTCTCGGAACAAAGCTAGTTCTAATAAAGTTGATACTCATAGTATTGAATCAACTAATGATTCAGAAAATGAATCATTTATTTTGCATATTGCAAATACGGAAGATAACGAACCAGTAGAAGTTGATAAAACAATCAACGAATCTGCAGCTACTGAGTTGACAGAGAATATTTCAGTGGATCCAAATGATAATTTACACAGTGCTGAAAATGTACAGCCAGATGTAAATTCAAATATTCATTCTGAAAGTGAATTAGATATATCTACAAGTTTACACCAAACAAATATGTTTGATGAAACGATACCTGAACGGCACATGATTCAGTTGAATCTAATAAAACACTTTCAGAAAGGGAGATAACTACTCAATCTCCAGAAAGATCAGAAAATGAACAATGTTCTTTTGTTCCGCGAAGGTCTGCAAGGTCAAGGTTAAAACCACAATGGATGAGAAATGACGAATTTGTATTTTCACAAATCCATCAACCAGATTGGAAAATGAAAGCAGAGTATTTACAATCTTTAGCAGATACAAAACTTTTCCAAAATGTTGATGGTAAAGTCATTTCTGATGCTTTAATAAAGGTCATAACTGAGTCTGCGGATAAGTAATCTTTTAAATAAGATTTTATAATTATGTTTTTAATGTTTTAATATTATTTTATGACAATCAATTGATATATACATGTACTATTATAATTGCTCTTGAAAAATTAATGAGCTATATGGTTCGAATTACAGAAATTCTGTGATTAACTTATTTATTGTTGAATGAGTACATCTTAGTCTGTGAATTAAGATTGATACAGAGCATACTTCCTCTTAATAATTTTGTTATAAATGATGGGCACATCATTTGACATCAGAGGAGGAATGTGATATTCTTATTGCTATCAACATTATGATTGCACATCGATATATGAGCAATATGACAGTATACCATAATGTTGCTGAAAATAGCTTATAGTGATAATTTTTTTACTTAAGAATTTTTTTTTGCTGCAAGTCGTTGAGTAAGTAAATCTTATTCAACTCATAGCTTTAATAATTTTTTTTATACTATTAAATTAAACATATATTCGTTAATGAATGACGAGGACGTAAATTGCTAACGGGGGAAAAAATGTAATAGTGATAGTTTTATACTATTTTAAATTTTATGATATTCAAATGTATAATTTAATAATTATACATTTATGAATAAGTCACAACTGATTTTAAACTCTAAAGTGAATTAAATCTGTGTGTCAATCAACATTGACCAAAACAAATAATTTAAACTCAAATATTGGAACCTTTCACTTATATAATTAATTAAATAAAATACTTTTAAATTCCGAAATAAAACAACCTAAATGAATTAAAATAAACAATTAGTAAAACTTTGGATCCACCCATGCTACTTCTAGTACACCCGTGTAAGAGTACATGATCATGAGTAGTTTTCATCTTACTACAATTTCAGTGGTCTAAAAATTACCTCCAAATTCCTGACATTCAGACAAAGACACTTTTCAGCTGACAATGCATGAGTCTACATGCCAATATGAGTTATTCATAATTTAATGAAATCTGACTGACTGTTTCAAAGAAACTGTAAGTATCATAATCTACTTTTTAAAATACATAACTTAAAAATCAAATACATTAATATTCATAATTTCTAAATTCTGAAATTAATAAGCTGAATGAGAGATTTTTGGAGTGAGAGATTCAATTTATATTGCAGAGTCCAGATTTATTTATTCATTCTTTATACTCTGCTGCACATTTAAGAAGATATAGGAGTCAAGCTTTGTTCCACAAATAAGTACCAATTTATATATTTTTGCAATACAGGTTTATTATTTTATTATGAGAATTGTAAATGTGATATTTAATAATAATTTCCATTTATTATATTGTCAACATAAAGAATCTATTTTCTATTGAATACTGTTCGTTATTTCCATATCCTATATGAATGTTTAATATCAGCTTTACATGTATTTCATGGTATTTTATAAAAGTCTGATTCAAGGGGAATAACTTGTGAATTCCTCAAATGCTATGTACATGTATTGATGTTTTATGATTTGTTATAATGTGAAATACTATTGATATATCCTGATTAAATATGTATTGTATTTTCAGGGCTATAATTTTATAACATGATGACTCCCTGAATAAACCATGTTAACGAACCCGCAGGTGTTATTGGCTATCAACGACCCCTGTTACATTATAAATCTGGAGTTCATTAATACATGTACCATAAATATACTTAAAAATTAAAGCTATATTTGGGGTATCTGAGCTAAAAAATAAAAATACAAGATTAAGCATAAAATTAAATGGTATTTGTTATTTGTGTTCAAATTCGAATTTTCACCAATTTTGAACTTAAATAAGTGTTTTAATATCTTGGGGAAAGGCTAGTCAAAACTCTACCACAGCCCCTTGCGAAATTCTTAGTCAACCACTATGGTTAAATAATGATATCAAAGTCGGAAAAAAATATGTGTTTAAGCGAAAATGGATTACCAATGGCATATTTTTCATCAATGATTTAATTACGGAAAATGGCGATTTCATGAATTTTAACCAATTTAATAATAGATACATGTTAAATACAAATTTCGTGGAATATACCGGATTACTATCAGCAATCCCTAAACATTGGAAGCAAATAATTAGAAATCATCAAAAGTTGAATGAAATTAAAAGTGAAAACATTTTAAAACTTCAAAGAAATGTTAAAGTCACAAAATACTTCTATCATTTTTTTGTTGAAAAGATAGCAGAGTCCCCTTCAATGGCTTTAAGAAAATGGGAGGAAAAACTTTCAATACATATTCCTGAAAATAAATGGAAAAATTCATTCTCTTTACCCTATTTAATAACAGAGGACACTAAACTTCGATGCTTTCAGTTTAAGCTTTTACATCAAATATTTTTTACAAATAGCAAACTTATGAAATGTAAATTAGCTGAAACAGAACTTTGTTCCTTTTGCCATGATACTAAAGAAACACTCATCCATCTAATATGTTTGTGTCCTTTTTCAATTACTTTATGGTCTAATTTAAGAGATAAACTTCTTAACACTTGTGGTATAATGATTGAATTTACACCTGAAGAAATAATATTTGGATATAATAGTTGTAGTAAAACTGCTTTCAGATCGTTGAACATAATTATTCTAATTGCAAAGCAATATATAATGCATTGTAAATGGAAAAATATAACGCCCTCTTTTCTTGCTTTTTTGGAAGTACTTAAACATTATAAAACTATAGAGCTTTTTTCCTCCTTTTCTCTTTCTTATAAAAAAGCAGACATGATAAAGCAAAGTTGGGATTTTTTGAAAACATTTCTCAGTCAGTGAAGATAAGATACAGAAAAGTAATAAATATTATTGTTCTTTTTTTTAAACTGTTCAATACAGAAAAGTAATAAATATTATTGTTCTTTTTTTTAAATTGTTCAATGGAAGCACTTTATGTCTATTATGTATAAATATCTGCCTTTTTTTCCATTATATTTGTAACTTTGTAATGTTTGTATGATGCATTTAATGACAGAAATAAAAAATATGAATGACAAAAAAAAAAAAAATTTTGAACTTAAATATCTCCACATTTCTATTAGTTAAATTGACTTTAAAATGTGTCTGATATTTATTTTCGAGTAGGATAAAAATCGGTTATTGGTTTAAATCTGTGATATCTATGAAACGGGATTGATTACAATTGTGTAATTCACAGGAAAGTCCTATCTTTATATAAAGTAACAAAACAAATAGAAAGATCTTTTTTATTTTTAATTAGTAAGTCTAAACCTATCAAAAATACGCCATATATCACTTTAAAGTGATATATGGCGTATTTTTAATAGGTTCAGACTTACTTGAAATATGTAATTAAAAGTACCAAACAAATATTTGTTCATACCAAAAATATTTTTAATTAAAAAAAAAAAGCTTTTAAAATCTTCGAAAAAGGAACAGTACTTATCGTACTACACAAGACATGTAAAGAAAATTGTTGACATCTAAGTAAAGGTTATAGGCCAAAAACTGTCCATTCTGTGAGAAGAAGAACTGTTGGAGGGCCGTAGGCCCGACAATAGTTCTTTTTTCTCACAGAATGGACAGTTTGAGGCCTATAACCTACTTAAAACATTTACCCCATTGTGTTCATAATGTACTCTCTTAGAACTTTTTCTCATCCATTGTATTAAGTTGCATTGTCTACTTATTGGACTGTCTCAGGTGAGGGTTTTATGACAGTCAAAAGAAGTCAAAAGAAGTTTGTATTCATTGTTATTATTAACTTAGTGGACGGTTACAGGTAAGTTCAATTTTTAAACAAATGACTAAAGAATATTTAATCACAAGGCATGAGATTCCATCACCATTTTTATGTGATTGTGAATGTTAAAAGCATGTCTTTTTTCAAGGAAGCATATTTTGATGCAAAACAACTTCAGATATGAAGGGCAATGCATAACGGGGTATGTCATTCTTGTGATATTTTGAGCCTAGGATGGTCAAGAAAATGAACTTTGAGCTCAAGGTGGACGTTTTATTTTTCAAACATTTCTCAACGTTTGATCAAGGGTTTTCAAGGATGCAGAAAAAACAAAGGGAACGTAGAAAGGTTTCCGCAATTAAATCAACAATATTCAGATGATTTAGAAGAGGATAATCAGAGCAGAAATGTAAACGGGTACTTTTTGTGTTTTTAACTGATGGAGAGAATGTTACACGGTACCAAACATTGATGTACGTTAAAGTGTTGAGTGATAAAGAAATTAAGTGAACAAAATTATAAGCTTTCTTTTCGCCGAAATCAGAAACAAATCGGGAGATGAGTGGACAAGGCTATCGACTAAACACCCTTGCATTCCTGTAGCAGAAAAACGATGGATGTGTTTCTGTAGAAAAATTATTCAAAGTACTAGTGAGAAATAAGAACTTAAGGAGCGGCTGTTTCTTGCTAGGAGAAGTGATATCCCCCCGTGTGTGGTGCAAATTACATTCTAATAGTATTAATAGTAATATATCCTTCAAATTTATGTTATGATGTTCATTGTGAGCTGGAATATACATTTCATCATTTATTGGAATAATTACAATGTTTCAGTTTTTTTGACTTGGAATGAATTATTTAATTACACTGTGAAACAGTTGGATTCATTGCCTGAAAAATATTTATTTGTGTTTATTTGTGTTTATTTGTGTTGCATTTTCTTAATCTAGTAAGTTACCTGTAGCCATCCAATAAGTAACTGAAAACTGTCCATTATTTTTAATAATGGACAGATTTTTAAACTTATTGGACAGTTTCAGGTAACTTATTGGACTGTTTTGGGCCTTGCAAGAAGTAGAAAGCATTAAAAGAACAAAAGATGATGTCATACTAATGTTTTAATTTAATATAGGGATGGGGTGGGCAATTTAAAAGGCCTTAATTTTTAAGTTTTAAGCTTGCTGTATGGTACAATATTAAAATCTAATAAAACATGTCACGAAAAGCCAGATAAGTGTTTTTCATTGTTGTTAAAAATTATTTATGAAAAATATACACCAATTGATATGGATAAAATCTTTAAAAAAATTAAAATTTGGCTGTAGAATTCCTCCTTTAATAAATACAGGTAATACTATATATAATTCAAGTAAACTCTACCTGTACCCTTTATAGGGCCCCTTAATTGAGTGTGATAATTAGATAATTTTATAATGAGTAGACGTTCAGGGAACACACCGGTGACGTTTCTAATTCACGGGAAAACATCCAACGTTAAATTAAGCACTTTTGAGTATGCAGTTATTTGCTACTAAACTTAAAATGTTATTGTACAAAATACATGTAATATACTTTTTCGTCGAATAAACAGATTATATCACAACATTGCACGATTTGACATGCTTGTACATGTTCAGTCGATGTAAGTATAAATATACATGAATGCACTTTTGCCTAGAATAACGGCCAAAATATATACATCCAGAGTTTAAGAATACAATTTTTAAAAAATTGAAAATTCGTGAATGCTATTTATCATTAACCAGTACTAGTATCTGGACGATAAAATATCAATTTTAATTCTTTACCAAATGTCCTCCCGGTCAGTCATTGTTAATGTTGGTGACATGAAATGTAGATACTAGGGTCTCAGTAAACAATTTCACCTGAATTATCCTCATCGTCATTCGGTGTTTTCATCCTTAGAAATAAATTGTTTGAGGATGTCTTGTTTTCCCTTCTCACATTGGTAACGCGTAGGAAAAAAGTTTTTAAACAAAGCAAACGGCATTTTACAAAAAAGGAAAACGAGAAGAAAAAACGTGTCTATTTAGATTAAAAACACAACGCATCAATTTGTATTTGATTAATCCACATACGGTTTTTTTCCTTCTCCCATGCATTTCGACTATACGGAAAAAAAAAAGGATCAGCAAATCCTTTGGTAATATTAAAAGAAAGGTGTTGTACCTTCAAAAGACACTATATCCCACAGGCCTTTAGGTCGCTTAGAAAAAAAATTGTGTGTATTTTTTTTCCCAACACCTCAATTTTTTTTTCTAAGCGATCTAAAAGCCTGTGCTATATCCGAACAGTTATTACACAGACTACCAAATATATCACAGCCTCCCTGAAAGAATTATTTTTAATCAATAAATTCTAATTTAGTTCAAAGAAAACCACACTGTTGTATACAAACATTCAAAAAATAATCTTTCATGCATGTTTCATGGACCGACACGTGGTTAAATTTTCTCTCATCACTATAAGTACCCCCCCCCCTTTAACATGTTTAAAATGAATATACAACATGTACAATGTCTTCCTTCTGAGCCGAGAATGTTAGTTGGTTGGTTTGTTTTTATACATGCGTATATACATGTAGATTAAGGCTGGTGTTGAATTCCGAAAGAAAGTCACAACCTATTTTTTTTTATGTAAACCAATAATCATATTATGCCCCGCCATGAATATGGCTTGGGATATAATGTTTGTCATGTCGGACGTCTTCCATCCTGCCTTATCTCCTTCCGTCACTCTTTGCCTTTAGCTAAGTTCAAAGCTCAGTTTCAAACAAACTAACCAAGATATTTTTAAAAATAATCAAACTTCATACACAGTATAGCTGCAGAAAAAAAATAACAGACAGGAGAGTTGTACTGAGCCACCCACTGAAAAAATCGGTCCTACTAAACAGAGTACG